TGCCCAGACCCTAGCCTCAACCTGTACTAGAAACTAGTATTACCCCAAACTAATTATTTTGTTTACCAGTACTAAGTGCAAGGCTGACCACATTTTCATAGGGCATTTCTCATTTCTCCCACATTTCTCTGGTCTATTGCATCAGAAACACAGCAGTGACCCACGGCAGGGAAAAGAGCTTTCCTCATGGGGCCTCTCCCGAGGAGCACCAGCTCTGCCCCTCCCGTGCCCACTGGGTGGCACTGCAAGCAGGCCCAAGGCACTGAGGTGGCACACGGAATTCACCTACCGCAGATTGGTGGTTCTTTTTCCTAAATTTATCTCTAAAAAGTCTTGTATGAAGCTACAGCTTCTCTGTGCAAGATTGTAGCTGCAGCTTTGAAGGCAGCACAGACAAACCTTAAGAAAATGCCTGAGACACGAGAAATCAGGGTTTAGCTCATGTGTAAAGGCTGCAATGTTATGTACAGCTGACTGGTTCAGTGGCACAGGTCATTTCTTCTTGCTGCTTGACTCTGCAAGTCATCCTGCACATTACCACGGACTCAATTCTTCCAGAACCCAAGCTGGCCTATTAAACCACAGTTGGATATTCACAGTAGTGGAGACATAGCCTCATATTTTTCAAGTGCTAAGTCAAAAGACACAATTTAGGCTCCAAACGATCTTCAAACTCATCAGTTTGTTTAAAGCATATATTCAGCAGTGAACACAGTAGGCATTCTAAGAAAAAAACAAAAATTTTGGTACCAAACCAAAGTACTAAATGAAAAAAACCAAACCACACTTCGTTTAGGGTTGGATGAAACATACCTGCTCTTGCACTTTGAATGAAGTCTTTTGTTCTGAAGGATCTGTGCTTTCTGGCTTCGGAGGACTTGAATTTTGTTGCCGTCCAGAATTTGATATAACATTTAAGGCACTAATCTGATTCTGAGGAGGAGAAAAAAAGTAAAAAAACTGAAGCACAAATACATGAGTTTAAGTCTACATTTACCCACTACCACAATCCTGCTCATGTGGCACTTGGACTGAAACAGATGATGTACAAAGCACTGAATTTTGTAAAATACTGTGGAAATCAGGAATTTTAGGAAATAAAAATTATACCAAGACATCCAGAATCAGAAAGCTTTTACTCTTTATTATTGTATTAAAAATCCAAAACACCACTGGCTCCATGCTTTTTCACCAAGAAAGAAAATGATATATTAAGGAAAAGATTGGCTTTTCCCATCCTGTGTCAGCATTAGGTGCTATCGAGAAAGTTTGCAACACTTCATGAAATCAAGAACCCAAACTAGGAACGGCTTGAAAAAAAATCCTGACAGAAATCACTCTAAGAGATCTTGTCACTGACTTGTTTCCAGCAGATTTAACCAGCCACATACACGTGCTCAGGTGTTAATTTGGTTTAGTGTGAACAAGGCAAAATCAGACAAGAGAGTTGCATTACAACAGTGTGTTTACAGATTGAGTTGACTTCAAGAAATATATACATGAACAAATACAGAAGTTGTATTACATTTTAAATCACCAGAGAAAACCCAAATCTGTAGAACAATTTAGCTTTTAATGAGTAAGCCACACCTTATGCATACGATATAGTTCAGTACTGGCACAACATGACTGCTCTGGTCACTTACCCACAGCAGGAAAATATGGGTTAAACTTTTTAGCAACAAGTAAAAAACCAATCTGAGCTTTATTCTTTGGTTTTCAAATTCTATTTGAAAGCAATAAATACAGAATCAACACTATATACTGTGATTTAGGCACAGAGGTGAGAAGCAAATTCTCTCATCTTTCTGACTTTCAGCCACTAACTTGAAGGTCAGAAACCTTCATGCCTGAAATGCTGGAGGCCTTCTAGTTACAAAATCAGGCAAGGCAGAGTTTTCTTTGCACTAAGGGATGTGCTGCAGTATGTTTCCATGCTCACACTGGAATACACACAAAACCCCACACTATAAAAAGCATCCATTCACTTCATTAAAAAAAATACATCTCAGAGTTCATTCATTTTCACATATGGGCTTCATGTAGTGTGTACTTGAAGGATTAAGCTGATTTGGAATCCTAGATTAAATCACTCAGACCTTCATAAATCTCTTTTTCACTGCCTCTGCCCCCTTCTCATGCTGACACTCTGCCAATCTCATGTGGGCTGCACACAAGGATTACTGTATGATCCATCTGGAATGTACCAGGCAGATAAGTACTTTTTGCTCCTAAATACAAATTCATGCATAATTACCAAGTACCATAAAATTATTTCTAAAAAATTAAGACAGGAAAGGTCTCTCAGGAAGCCAAACAAGTTGGTTACTTTATCATGGTAACACTGACACACCTTGGCTGTAAGGAGGTCCAAAGTTAATGTGCCAGAGGTTTGGTGCTAAAGCTGAGGTGGTCAACAGAACATTCTTCAAAGAAGTTTGCTTGAAAAGTGACCAACATGGTTCAGTTCTGCTTATCTGACAACTGCTACACATCTACAATCACGGCAGGGATGGTGGGATCATGTTAAGCAGATTCAGGTTACAGTTCGCATAAAAAGGAAAAGAAGTAATTACTCCAGTTTCACAAGTGTTCTAAAAGTATCAAGAAAAACACATACACATAAAGCAACAAAAATAAATCAAGCTCAAGACATAACCCTCCAGTTTTAAAGTAGCTCTACTGCAGCTCATGGTCTGCATACTTCCCTCTTGTATTATGCACTGCAGATGTTGACTATCCACTAAAACAATCTGCATACTACTAAAATTGGAATTTTACTTGTGTACAGAGCTTCATCCATCATTCTTAGAAACTTGGTTCCTAGCAAAAGCTTTTCAGCATTCTCACATGAAAAAGACCTGAATATAAGAAGGGCAGCTGGAATATCCCAAGTCATTTTATGAGCCATCTGTTGGAAATGTGTATTATCCAATACTGTGAGGACATAGAGGGAGAAAGGCTTCATCACACCCCAAGAGGGCACTACCAAAACAGTGTGTTCTTGTAGTGTGGTTTTTATTTTTCTCTTCTTTCCAGAAAGACTTCAGTTTCTTCAAATCTGTCTACATTGCTACATCATTGAAAGACAAATCATTCAGGTTTTGATGTTCCCTTCTGAGATCTCACAAAAGCTGCTACTTCCACAATGGTGGCCTCTGTACAAAGACACCTTCTCCCCCAATAGCACCAATGCATACACAATCAGAATTAATTTTTTGCATCTGTATTTTAAAGCATTGAAAAAACATGACCAATTTTCAGAACCTGGGTCAAAGATACTGTATTGTCTGTCACATTCACCTGACCTCAATCTACATCAGAAAGTGACAAGTTAAGTTGGCTCACACGAGGCATCATCCACATGCTTATTCTTCTTTCCTCATCCCACACTGTACAGTAACCATCTAGAATCCTACAAAGACTCAAATCCCAAGTGCTCAAAGGAAATCCACTGCACAAGCAACTTCTGGAACGTATCAAGCACTGTACTAGTGTGCTAACTCATGTCTCACCAGCACAGCCACAGGAACCACACCACAGCTCTGCAGTGCAATACTCACACACGGCTTTACTACTGCACATTCCTGTATTATTATACTTGGGAAGAGGCGTGTTCAGAACCTTTGTTTCCTTTTCTGGATCTCCCACACATTACCCTTACATTCATCCTGCAGGTATGAATTTGGTCCTCATGACTATATAAAGTAATTCTTTCCTAAGAGACCTAACATTCTTCATTATGCAACCCTGTGAATTTAGCAGAGGATAACAGACTTTTCCTTCTGAAATGAATTAATGTAGTAAGTACTAAAGGGCCAAACACAGCAGACAGGGCAGCAGCAGTAAACTGGGGAACAGAAGGACAGGGGAGCAGCACTGCTACATTTAGCCTACAGCTATTTAAAAATGTGCTCCACAGAATCTACTGAATGACTCTCTCTAATAGCACAAGACATGTTTTGAGACTAAGAACAGAGAGATGCTGTTGGGCTCAATTTGTATTTGCTATTCCCAGAGACAAAATTTTCTCACAGCAGGAGAAAGCATTGTAAAATATGTCTACCAAGGTACACCTCAAGTTGGATCACATGATCAGTGATCAGTTCAATCTACCGTGCCTGAAATCAGAGACTGTTTCCTAGTATAGTGTCCCTGAGGGAGGAACAAGACATCAGTCTGCAGACAAGGCTGCTGGAACAACAGCAGAGACTGCCTGCCCTTTAAACAAACACAGCTGACGTGCTAAAAACCAGCTTCCAGAAAAGTGACATTTACTTACTCGTTCATATTCATCCTTGGCTTTACTAAGCATTTCCAGGATGTCGATGGGCCTGTTTTCATTGCAGCCATTGGGTCTGCTGGGACTTTTTCTGTCCTGGGAAACTTGCTGAGACCTCTGAGCTTCTTGTTCAACCACTCTGTAGCAGGAAAGGAGAAAGAGGATTCAAAAATTTTATCTACAGTTAACATCTTGCAAAAAGCAGCAGTAAAGAAAAATGTACTCCCAGCATATTAACACATTTTTTCTGCCTGAATAAAATCCTAACACATAGCTGACCAAAGTTACACAAGTTTTCGTTTGCTACAAGGTTTACACAAGTCAAATGGTCTGTATGATTTATCCTCAATTCAGAGAGCACTGGTCTGTCTCTCACAAAGTTTACCTACGGTAAACACTCAAACTCTCACGTTTAGACATTTTAACAATAAAATATGTGGCCATCCAAGCATGTGATATACAAGAGCACACATTTGATACCACAGACTAAGATACATTTTTTATTCTTTACTTCCTATGCATTTTTCCATATTTAGCCAAACCAAGCCATGTTATCCAACAAAATCTATTACCAAACAGTTCTAATTTAGAATGAGGCCTACCATTACACAACAAAGACAGTGGGAAAGAAGAGAACTGGCTCACACCAGATGTCTCTGGAGTCCATCTGCCAGGAGACTCAGAGCAAGTCACATTCACCTCACAGACCCAACTAAGGCTCTGGAAAGAACAGCAAACCATTTTCTTCTCAGCTGCCCCTAGTCACTCCAACTCCCTGCAGGCCTAAAACACAGCACTCCACTGGTGCCTACAGCTCATTCGCCACTTCTGCCCTACCCCAACCTGCCTTAAGGATCCATAAACCTTCCATTCAAAAGATGGTTAAGATGATGTGCACCTGGTACATTTCATTACTAAAAGTAAAGGCAGCATATACTCCTAATCCATATGCAGTTCACAAGATATACATGGCTGTGCGATGCGCTAAAGCTTATCCTCTTGAAATAAACACACACCAGCCTGTAATCCCTTCTTTTTTAAGCCTGCATTAATCAAATATGTTAAGAAAAAACAAGCACAGTAAACAGGGCAGAGCTCTGGAGCTGGCATGTCACTTGAGAACTCTCATGCTGATGGGGGAGCCAAGAGGTGCCATCACAACAATCACAGAAAGTGCCAATCACTCCAGCCTCCACTTTCTTTGGGTCAGTTAGGATTCAGGACAAACTCAAGATTTTACAGACTGCAATTATTTATATACACCTCTACGCTGTCATTTCTGAGGAAAAAAAATAGTTCCAAGTCTTGGAAGTATCTTCCCAGTTTTCTAGCAACCAAATTGCCTGACTTAATTAGAGTTAACTGTGTTTATTTGAAAAAGGGTTAGATTTGGCTTTTAACAATTCAATGTTGCTTTCAGAATTTTTAATCATACAAGCTGCTTATTTAACAACCTTCTGACAATCAGTACAGCTTCCTCTGCAAGCAGCAGTCACCTGCAATGGTAACTGACAGCAGGGAGGCCAATCTACACCCTGACCATTTCCAAGACCAGCAGCGTGTGCTGGTTTGGATGAAGCAGCTCAATACTCTACAAATGTTTCTATGGTGACACCCCGAGAGAACATTGTGTTCTAGCACCTCATGTGGTCACCCAGTCCTGACTTAGGACCTGTTTAAACTCAACTCCAAAATTAAGCATGAGAAAGAGTAAGGTAAAAGAATCAGAATACTTGGCTGAGATTTTAAGTGTCAGTACAATTGTATAAAAAAATATAAGTATTGCAGTTAAAGGGAAAGTTCTGAACAACTGAAGTCACTGTTGTGCTGCCTGACAGGGAAAGCAACCGTTTCAGTCTTGAGACCCTCCTTCTGCTCTTAGTGAGTTGGCACAGAAGATTCCAATAAAACATCCTCCCATGGAAACATAATTGGTCTCATAGCAAAACATCTTCAAGGAGTTACATTTCACAGAAATGTTTCACAAAATTTTCTGAAAAACAGTTCACAGTATACACAGTACACTTCCTTTTCATGATGAAGTTTGTTAACCTTTTAAAGTTTATTTTTTCCCTTTCAAGAATAACAAACTATCTTCTCAAATAGATAGTTGTCTAATAGCTCAAACTCCATCTTCTGTCTTGTGCAGGTCACATTTTGATTGGGGGTGATGGAATAAACAAGAAACTACACCCCCAAAACTCTCTGAAATACTTTGCCACTCCTAGCCTCTATCTCAGAAGCTACTTTAGGTTTCACTGTTCAAACAAGGTAAAAGAGACTTCTAAACTAAGCTAAAAATAACCCGTCACTACAAATTTACAGGTCAGAATGCAATAGTTTCACATATATTTCAAAACCCCCAGTTTCTGTCCTACTTCTTCTAGGAAGCTCATCCCTCAGTCAATCATCTTGACTTCACTTGACCCAAATCAATTGTTTTTGAAGTCAGGAGTTTGATGACTCCCACAAAATGTTTTCATTTCAGAAAATTCTTCTTAAAAAA